ACCCCCTTGAATTTAACTTACGCGTTTATCTCCGATTGTTAGAGCCATTTTTAGGTTTTTTCGGTAAAGTCACGTAGGTAAAAAATGTAAATTAATAAAAGTAAAATAAAAAATAAAAGATAAAAAAAATCACGACGAATTGTGTATGTTTGGAGCGTGGCTTCACTCTCGGATGCAACGCAACACCGCACACGCATTCACCGCAATTCAACGAGATCTTAGCGGCTTCGTGTGGGTCGTGCTTGATGTTTTTCTTGCCGAATTTGACTTTGCGGACCCACCAGGTTATACGGGGAGATAACAACATTACTGCACTGCCATTTAACAGCCATCGCATAGGCGTGGATTTATTCCTATTTGTCACGTGAATTATATTCCTGCGTATGGCGGCAATACGTTCGGGGACTGAATGCCAATGTCGAGTTCTGCTGGTCAAGAAGTAGTTTTGCTTCTCCTCCGTTGGAGTGCCAACTATAGTGGCTATAAAGATACTCCTTTGGTTCTTTCGGTAAAGTCACGTAGGTATACAATAAATCGCGACGTTTCTGGCGCAACGCAAGCGTCCATCAGGTGGGAAAGCTTGGTCTGCTGCCGAGGCAGACTAAAACAGCTAGGTGGGGCCTTACCTGGTAAAATTAAAAAAAAACGTAGTTTATTTTTTAGTTCAGTAGCTTATACCGTATTTATTTAAATGTAATATTTACCTCCACTCAAGGGGTATCAAAACCATTGTGCACTCAAATAAAATGCAAAGACCAAAAAAGGAAAAAATGTTATGTTCAAGTAAAATCCTCCTAAACAACACGGAGGCATGTAGGTTGCCGGATCACTACAGGACAGACATTCCAGATCCTTGGGGCAACGCTTGAGAAGGCTCGACCTCCCCTTCCCCAGCGTCGAGTGCAAGAGCCGAGGGCTGGGAGAGTAGTACGTCCTGCTCCTGAAGTGCATGGTAGTAGTATATACACCCCGGTCGTATGGCAGATAATTCGGGGCCCGCAGGTACTTTGCTGCAAGACCATACAAAGCTGAATCGTAGCACCGCAAATTGAGAAGCCAACGAGAGCTGGACACCACGGGGCCTGGTGAGACACCACGTTTATAACATGTCCATTGGTATCTATGGGACTTGTTTTGCTAAGTATCAAACGTTGACACAGGCGGCACTTGGAAGAGTTTTCTGCCACTGCACCGGGAATTGAGGAGCGAGACTCGGTTCGGCAATCGCGGAGTTTATGTATTGGATGGACCAGCAAAGTTTTTTTTTATCCGTACACTCCATGTGTTATGGAACTGTAGGGGATCCTGTATTCGCGGCCATGTCCCTCTTGCGGGTTGTTGTTATTGTTTTGAAACTGTTTGAGACGGTGACTGTATATAGTTGGAATAAAAGCTTTAAAATAACCGGGCCGTCTTCATCGCCCGCGAGTTGTCTTACAATAAGCAGTTATGTTATCCTTGAATAGTGTCGTGTGAAACACCCGTGTGTATATAGTTACTCGCAGTTGCATGTTGCGTTATTGGTTGATATTTATTTGATAATAAACACACGGAGAAGACGGCGTCTCTGAGTTAAATTACACTTGTATAATCTCCTGTAGATGTACATGTCACTTAATGTTCTGAAGATGTAGATGCAACAGCCTCCATGTAATACACGGCAGTTGAACGTATGACTCTCGGTCCAAACGGGCAACTGGACATGTGGACAAGTTTGGTCGTATTTCTGAAAGTTCCGAAGTCTAATATTCCTAAGTAGGAGTCCCTGCAATCATACTTTATATCGCGTCATTCATAAATTAATCTTGCAACACTGCACATTAATTGTACAAAGAGGGAAAACATCCCTCCCTTTTTATAGCAACTAACAAGCAAATTAAAATCCTGCAGGAAGTAAAAAAAATAATGAAAACAAAAATAACCATGACAACGAGTCATTCAGAGATTAAACAAGTCTCACAACCCAGAACACAAGCCAGGAGACCTTTACGAGGTATGTCGGTGGAATTCCAATAAGTTTACGACTAACGTAAACCGATCGGTCAATCATCCAACCAGGGAGGTACTTTATCGACCTAAAAGGGGTTAGAGATTGAGTTGACCCTCCCCACTCCAACCACCTCCTCACTCAAACCACCCATCAACTAATAAAACCGGTCTGTGCACAGTACTTGTAAATATTCTTCGCCAAAAAAATAATGACGATCAAGCCTGCGGTTTCTAACTGGAAGGCAGCACATTCTCCCCGTCTGCTATTTGAGTTTGATTTAACCGAGAATCAATGCACAACTCGACCCTGACACTAACGTCGGCAGCAGGTGTGTCTATTCATCACATGGCTGCCAAATAAAGACATCGGCGCTCTATTACATACGCACATCGATTCTCAAATCGCGCTCGGACGTGCTTGTCCCGCTGATTTTCCACCTGGCAAATCTTTCATTCAGCGAGGGCTGTTCCCAGACTAGACGTCTGGCAAAAACAATATCAAACTGCAGCGTGTGTACAGGCCTCTTTGGCACGAGCCGTGACTTGCTGTAAGATCTGACCATGCCCGTCCAGTGCTCACCGAGCTGCATTGGCTTCCAGTTGCCAAACAAATACATTGTTATGAAGTCGCGCTTATTTACACAAGGGCTTGCTACAAATGACAACCCAGGAACAATGCTTCTGCCTGAGCAAGTGAAAGTCACTCCACTTGAGAGGGGGAAGGGGCCCAGGAATGGTTGACATTAAATGTTATTCAGAAGTGTTCCCGATATAAACATTGGGGTTGGGGACCAGGAAATTGCAACCTTATAACGAGACGATGTAAAACGAGGAATTCACTCCCCCATGTGAATATATGGAAATGGTAGGTGATGGAAACCGTAAGAACATATACATTGCCGATCCAACGGGAAGCTGGGGAAATTTCTCCCATAGGAGCTGTACCATTAGGGAAATGTTTATTACCTAACCAGAATACGTACTGTACATGTACAGGAAACGTACTGTACATTTGCAGTACCTGAAATGTACAGTTCAACACGATAAGAGCCATTAGACAGTGAATGTATTATTTACGTGTATACATCTTATGTACATCTGTCATACATTTTTTGAAGCTTGGGACTACTCCCTCCCTCACCACTCTCCCTCCCTCACCACTCTCCCTCCCTCACCACTCTCCCTCCCTCACCACTCTCTAGAGGACGTGAAACTTTGATGAATTTACCTCAGAATCGCGTGGTGGGTGTCGAGGCCTAGCACCGTGCAGAGCCTCCGGCCTCGCCTAAATTGCCCACCCGGCTGAGGCTGGGTACGGGTGCCGTCCCCCCCCCCCCCCCGCGCTACAATAATACTGTCTAATCGCTATAATTTTATAATCTACCGACCCTATAATAGTAATTGCACACATTGTGGTGGGGGGGGGAGTGAAGAGGACGTGAAACTTTGATGAATTTACCTCAGAGTCGCGTGTTAATGCGTGCGCCTATTTTTAACGGGAATTAAAAATGGCGTCCACCCCGCGGCGAAGGCGTCGCTACCCGTTGCCAGGGGCAACCGCCGTCCAATGAAACTGCGTATGGTCGGGCGACACACAGACACACACACAGACAGACAGACAGATTCGCGATGTTATGTATATAGATTGTGGTCCAGAATGATCCTGAGGTTCAACACTTCAACACGAGCTCCCATAATTAACCCGGACCGGATGTGTCAACAGTGGTTGTTAAGAGAATGCAAAAATAGTACCGTCAATCCTATCGGGCCATAGGTTGCATCGTCGTAGTAACCATGATGATGTTTAAGAATATTCCTTTGCGGTAGTTGTAATTAACCCAACCGGTAATGGCCTTCGCACAAGTGATGACATCACATATATGCTTTCCTCTATTTCAAACGGAAACAGGAGGATTTATCCACAACTTCTGGCTGTCGCTCGATGATGCTGCTCGTTATTGTAGTAATTACTGGCGAAACGTTACAGTACTCGAATTGTAAATGTTGCAGTGGGTTTACTTTCCAACACAGCAACCCGTTACTGCTGAACTAATATCGAATTGACCACGTTTTGTTTACGTGACAAACCTTAACAAATTGGCTGTGTCGAGTGGTGTCCGGGTTTAACGACGCATTTATATCTATGTGATCTAACCCAACTAACCTCTATCATGGATGATATTGGTCGCGAAACCCCTACCACGTGTTGAACTGAGTGGTGTAATTATTCAACTTTTTCATTCTCCGAACGCCACGGGGGGCTCATTAATTGGGACCGGCATTGAGATCGCGAGGACATTTATTCGTATCTTTGTCCAAACTGTGTGCTCGGTGTGGCGTCAGGTTAATTGTATTGTTCTGGGTCCCCCCCCACCCCCTTGAATTTAACTTACGCGTTCATCTCCGACTGTTAGAGCCATTTTGTTCATTGGTTTTTAGTAGTCACCCCCCAACCACCGGCCCCACCCATTAATCTGCCCCCTCCCCCCTTCTCCACTGTTGGAGAAAAAAGTTTCACAGCCTCGCAAGACCATCAGCTTTGGTAAAAAAAATGTTTAAATCAAGCTGGTCTCATCATAACCTCTTATTTTCACTCCTTACTGTAATTGCTAATTAATGCTAATTGCTGCTAATTACTTCCATAATACACAATGCCACTCTTTATATGTTAATTATTGTAAAAGTATAAGCCAGCACGACGCTAGTTCGCCTTTGTCTCCCCAGTGATGATTTTTTTACACCGCACAAGGTACTCATTTGAGGCTGAGTCGACCTAAGGGAGGCCCAGGACCGGTTCAGAAAATCGGCACTGTTGTTGTCCATGAGCGGGAATCGAAATTGAGTGGCCAGTTTCATAGTGCAGCTCGCTAACTGTTACACTACCACTCCCACACACAACGAAGACAAAGACACACACACAAACACACACATGGGTGGGGTTTTGTCGTTGGCTTCTCTATAAAACGGGTCTCGCTCTCTCGTCGAGAGCCATCGGGACTTCTCCGGACCACCGCCACCACCTCCTCGTCCACCACCACCTCTTCCTCGTCCACCACCACCTCTTCCTCCTCCACCACCACCTCTTCCTCCTCCACCACCACCTCTTCCTCCTCCACCACCACCTCTTCCTCCACCACCTCTTCCTCCACCACCTCTTCCTCCACCACCACCTCTTCCTCGACACCTTGAGCCAGATAAGTCCCGCGTAGACCTGCTCCACCTTCTCGCAGCAGCAATGTCCGTGCGCGTGTTTGAGGGCGCTGAACTAGCCCGCCTGTATAAGTGCTACCGGCCCATCCTGCCGGCAGACGTCTTGACAACCCTAACCGACTACGTGTATGTAAAGGTACGTGAGTGTGTTTAGTGCGGTTTAATTCTCGAATTGTGTATGTGTGGAGCGTGGCTTCACTCTCGAATGCAACACAGCACCGCCCACGCATTCACCGCAATGCAACGAGGTCGTAGCGGCTTCGTGTGGGTCGTGCTTGATGTTTTTCTTGCCGAATTTGACTTTGCGGACCCACCAGGTTATACGGGGAGATTACAACATTACTGCACTGCCATTTAACAGCCATCGCATAGGCGTGGATTTATTCCTATTTGTAACGTGAATTATATTCCTGCGTATGGCAATACGTTCGGGGGCTGAATGCCAATGTCGAGTTCTGCTGGTCAAGAAGTAGTTTTGCTTCTCCTCCGTTGGAGTGCCAACTATAGTGGCTATAAAGATACTCCTTTGGTTCTTTCGGTAAAGTCACGTAGGTATACAATAAATCGCGACGTTTCTGGTGCAACAAGCGTCCATCAGGTGGGAAAGCTTGGTCTGCTGCCGAGGCAGACTAAAACAGCTAGGTGGGGCCTTACATGGTAAAATAAAAATAACGTAGTTTATTTTTTAGCTCCGTAGCTTCTACCGTATTTATTTAAATATAATATTACCTCCACTCAAGGGGTATCAAAACCATTGTGCACTCAAATAAAATGCAAAGACCAGAAAAGGAAAAAATGTTATGTTCAAGTAAAATCTACGAGTCTTACACTTCCTCCTAAACAACACGGAGGCATGTAGGGTGCCGGATCACTACAGGACAGACATTCCAGATCCTTGGGGCAACGCTTGAGAAGGCTCGACCTCCCCTTCCCCAGCGTCGAGTGCAAGAGCCGAGGGCTGGGAGAGAAGTACGTCCTGCTCCTGAAGTGCTTGGTAGTAGTATATACACCCCGGTCGTATTGCAGATAATTCGGGGCCCGCAGGTACTTTGCTGAAAGACCATACAAAGCTGAATCGTAGCACCGCAAATAGAGAAGCCAACGAGAGCTGGACACCACGGGCCTGGTGAGACACCACGTTTGTAACATGTCCATTGGTATCTATGGGACTTGTTTTGCTAAGTATCAAACGTTGACACAGGCGGCACTTGGAAGAGTTTTCTGCCACTGCACCGGGAATTGAGGAGCGAGACTCGGTTCGGCAATCGCGGACTCTTGTTTATGTATTGGATGGACCAGCAAAGTTTTTGTTATCCGTACACTCCATGTGTTATGGAAATGTAGGGGATCCTGTATTCGCGGCAATGTCCCTCTTGCGGGTTGTTATTGTTTTGAAACTGTTTGAAACGGTGACTGTATATAGTTGGAATAAAAGCTTTTAAATAACCGGGCCGTCTCCATCGCCCGCGAGTTGTCTCACAAGAAGAAGTCATGTTATCTTAGAATAGTGTCGTGTCAAACACCCGTGTGTATATAGTTACTCGTAGTTGCATGTTGCGTTATTGGTTGATATTTTTTTGATAATAAACAAACGGAAAAGACGGCGTCTCTGAGTTACATTACACTTGTATAATCTCCTGTAGATGGACATGTCACTTAATGTTCTGAAGATGTAGATGCAACAGCCTCCATGTATTGACGGCAGTTGAACTTATGAGTCTCGGTCCAAACGGTCAACTGGACATGTGGACAAGTTTGGTCGTACCTCTGAAAGTTCCGAAGTCTAATTTTCCTAAGTAGGAGTCCCTGCAATCATACTTTATATCGCGTCATTCATAAATTAATCTTGCAACACTGCACATTAATTGTACAAAGAGGGAAAACATCCCTCCCTTTTTATAGCAACTAGCAAGCAAACTAAAATCCTGCAGGATGTAGAAAAAATAATGAAAACAAAAATAACCATGACAACAAGTCATTGAGAGATTAAACAAGTCTCTCAACCCAGAACACAAGCCAGGAGACCTTTACGGGGTAGGGCGGTGGAATTCCAATAAGTTTACGACTAACGTAGACCGATCGGTCAATCATCCAACCAGGGAGGTACTTTATCGACCTAAAAGGGGTTACAGATTGAGTTGACCCTCCCCACTCCAACCACTTCCTCACTCAAACCACCCATCAACTAATAAAACGGTCTGTGCACAGTACTTGTAAATATTCTTCGCCAATAAAATAATTACGATCAAGTCTGCGGTTTCTAACTGGAAGGCAGCGCATTCTCCCCGTCTGCCATTTGAGTTTGATTTAAACGAGAATCGATGCAAAACTCGACCTTGACACTAACGTCGGCAGCAGATGTATAACGAGGAATTCGCTCCCCCATGTGAATATATGGAAATGGTAGGTGATGGGAACCGTAAGATTATATACATTGCCGATCCAACGGGAAGCTGGGGAAATTTCTCCCATAGGAGCTGTACATTAGGAAAATGTTTATTACCTAACCAGAATACGTACTGTACATGTACAGGAAACGTACTGTACATTTGCAGTACCTGAACTGTACAGTTCAACACGATAAGAGCCATTAGACAGTTAATGTATTATTACTTCTGTGTATACATTTTATGTACATCTGTCATACATTTTTTGAAGCTTGGGAATACTTGACTTGGAATATTCCAACTTCATGGGACCTCCCTTGCCAGTACCAAAATATGTGAATAGGATTTTCCCTTTTTTTGGCAACAGAGGGGACGCCTTGTGTCCTGGTCTTGTATAACACTGTTTTGAGACTAGGCTAAAAGAAAAGCTGCCTGGTGTGGACCAATCAGTTTAAAAAAACAATGTATATATTATGATATGTTTTTTGTTTGCATTCTGACCACAAACATTGTGGGTAATGTGGACATGATTCCTTGTAAAAGGTTTCAGTTTGGTGTTTTAGCATCTTAACACCTGTTTGTTGCCAGAAAAAATGGGAACCTATTATCAGACAGCGTTGTTTTTAGTTAGAAAAACAATGGGGGGATACCTATTCTCAATATTCCAACTGTTTAGACTCCCCCTTGGTTAGACACACTGTTGGTTGAGCTCATGACGTCACTTCCGGTCTGGAAGTATAAAAGGGAAGCCAGGAGAAGAACCAGATGGAGTGAGTAGACAAGTCTTTGACAGTGTGATAACGGCATAAAGTAAAAGACTAGATATAAATTTGGAAAGCGTTCGTTGTGTAAATAAGAACTAAGAAACAGTAGTTTTATTTAAGACATCAAACACGTGTCGACTTATTGCTCCATTTAGGTTCATGCGTAGCTTATTTTTGGTGCAAGAAAGCTGCGCATACAAATACAATGTACACTTAACCAATTCTGTTTTTTAATCTTCAAACAGCATTTATACTTATGTAATGATGTTACACCTGGGCGATAGTTATGGGTTCTGCCGGCCTCATCCAATGGGGAGTCGAGCCAGGGGCGTAGCCCTGGAGCTGGACAGTATCTTCGAGAAATTTCCAGGGGTGTGGCTGAGGATTGGCTACGTGGTATCACTTGGGCCAGGTATTATAAGAGGTGGAGAAAGACAGCACGTGGTCAGTGTGCGGAGAAATGAAGGGGGGGAAGCCACGCTGGTGCCGTGGTCCCGCTCCAGCCACATGGCGGGCCGCGGCAGTCTCTCTCACGCTGTCTTCCAGCAGCGCGAGGGAGCGGAGAGGGAGGCAAGGGAACCGAGTGTATGAATGCGGTGGAAGGCTGTAAACGGGAGAAACGAATAAACAACTCTGAAGTCAAGACGTCGTCTGAACGGGATTTATTACACTTATAAAAACTTAATTGAAAACCATTTTTATGAGCATTTAGAAGCAGCCCTATACACTTTAAAAGTTTTTCCTTTTAATAGAAATAATATTTGTGACAGGTTTTAAACAACGACTAAAAACATTTTAGAGTAAAAAAAAAACACAATATTAAACGTCATTTAAAAGTATTTTTCGTTAACCTATAACTTTTATGATCTTGGCTTGAGTAGAAACATTTCTGCATCATCCACTTCGACGTTGGCTGACTCCCTGTATTCAGTCAAGTTTATTGATCACAGACAGTGAAGCTGATGTTATTGTAGGTGCAACGAAATGTTTGAGGTTGTCAGCTCTACAACACTGCAATAGAATGTAAAACAAACATTGGAAAGATAAAAAAAAATCACGAAAATATCCGAAGGAATCCAAATGGCACTAACTATGTGCTTGTATGCATGGGATGAATGAACACAAAGATTCCCTTTCGGAGGTTGTAGCTGGCCTGTTTGTATTAATCCATGTTCCCAGTCGCCCTACCATTGTTAAATGTGGTGGTTCGCACTTTTAGTTTTGCATGAATACTACCATCCACGGTTTTTGGTTGGGATATGTAGGAATCGTTACTGTTGGAACAACATCCTCTGTGCACTTCTTGATGAACCCGGTAACTGTCTTTGTGATTGTCGATTGTTATTCCCGGTGACCTGGAACATTTCCCAGTCCAATGAAGAAAAACAGTCCTGACGCACAAATTTCGATTAGTTAGACCCGTGTTGAATAGTTCTAGTAACAGGCAATTCCTGCGTCTGCCTAATAGATGGGTAGGAGCAGGATGGAAGTGTGATCTGATTTGCCGAACGGTGGCCATGGGGGAGGGCTTTGTATCCACCAAGAGTGGTTAATCGTGAAGCATACCCCTACTCTTCTGCTTTGCTTTTCACTGGTGCCTTTGTTCTGTCCTGTCCCCCCCCCCCCCCCCCCCCCGGTCGATGAAACATCTAGTGGGCTGAATTGCGAGGTCCAACACCAGTAGGAGAGCCATGATTCGGTCAAACGAAGGACATTACTCCATCACATCTCATTGGTAGAAGATTTTCGATCTTCACTCGTCCAGCTTTTTCTCACGGAACTGAACCTGGGCTCCTAAGATTGGGAAGCCGGGTGGGGGGTCGATTAGCCTATCTTCTCAGCCTCACTAGAGCGCCGGCTCCCCTGCCCGGTCCGTGCTGATATCTCCGAAGAAGAACACCAGGTAAGATAAATTGAGCTGCTTTGGGGAAGGGGGGGGGTCTGAACAAAGGGACCTAAAAGTGCTTTGTGGTCATACGAAATAATAGCAAAGACATTATGAGTAAAAGTAAAAAAGACTAAAAACGACACTGCAAGGTTGTAGGCGCAAGCAACAAGGCTCCTTTCTCTGTTGGTGCCATCCACTCCAGGCATCATGGACTTAAGTTCTGTGAGCTACATCATGCCTGAAGACAACTGTAAAGCCATCTATGGGCGACCTTGAATGGGTTCTCTTTTGCTACTTCTTCCTCTCCCAACTACTTTTTCAAGTCTCCTCCATACAAGCTTAGGGCCTTCTCCTGAATGAGGAGTTCGGCTGATCGGAGTTTTTGTTGTGTAGATCCTCGATCCATAATGCGAGCAATCATTACATTTTTTCTATGATAACACTTTATTTGCCACGTCATTTTAACATCTGCTTTAAAACAAGCTGGCCTCTAATTTCTTCATGATCGTACGTGTACACTCGTTGGAGGAAGATTAAAATGGCGCCCAATATCAACCACACGCTCACCTTGCCCTGCTCCACTTTATCACTCCCATTTTAACATCCAGCATACGCCCGCTGAGACTTCTTACACTCACCACCTGAACTGTCACTGGCACACTATGCTTGCTACTCACCGTTGAAGGTTTTCGATGATATTTGTGACATAAAGTCCACGCCGATTTACAAGAAGCACTTGCAGCTTCGCACGTGAGACAATGCGATAGGACTGAGATGACTGTGGCGCATGTGCAAAATGCGAGTTGTACAGTGAATTTTGCGAGCTGTACATTTTCGACTGATTTGGTCATTTATCGAGTATAGGAAATACATGTTAAAAGCTAAATTTGTTCCGATAGCATCAAGTTACCTTTCACCCAAAAGGTGTAATGTATGATGTTTAAACAATGGATATTAATACATAGATATACTAACATTATAAACGCATAATATTAAAATAAACATGGTTAATCAATGCATTAATTAACATTTACTGTACCTACAACAGCCAGTCATTGACAGTGGAATGGTAGTTAAGCAGACGTTGGGCTCTATGGAGGCCTGTCGTTAAGCATTTAGTTATTCACAGCGGTGGTCATGAAGAGTGGGGTTCTACTGTATTGCGTTATCCATTCTTGGATGACCCAACACTTTTTCTCCATCAACCATTCACAAACACATCCTCTTCTTTACAGCTTCACATTTTCATCCTTTCTGTCCCACTATTTACTTTTCCCATTTTTTATCTTACTCCAGTAGAGTCGGTCCACAACCTTGGTGTAATCTTCGACTCTCTCCCCATTTCACCACGAAACTTCCACGACTCAATCGTGCCGTTTTCACCTTTACCAACATTCGTTAAAATCCACGGTTTCATGACAATCGCTGCCACCAAACTTCTTATTTATGCCCTTATTTTCACTCGACTTGCTATTATCTTATGATGGTCTGCCATAATACGCATTCAAACCACTCCAACAAATTAAAAACGCAGCTGCCCCTATAATATTTTAATCTTCTTCCATTCCCACACATCGCCCCTCCTCATTCAGCGACACTGGCTCCCCGTTCAATATCGTTGCCTCCTTTTAACTTCCTTAGCTGAGTTTATAAATCTCTCTCATTGCCCGGCTCCTCCTTACCTCTCTTCTCTCATCCGACTTTACTTTCCTGCCCGCTCGCTGCGTTCTAAATCTTTGCCGTCTCTTTTCTCTCCCTCCGTGCGCACAGTCTAGGCTTCGCTCATTCTCTCTCCGAGCCCCTCCTCACTGGAATGAACTACCGTTGCACGTCAAACAATGACCTTCTCACTACCATATGCTATTCTCTTTTTAAAATCCACGCATTCTCTCTTGCCCCACCCTTCCTTCTCCACTTGCTGTCCTCCCCACTCGTGCTAACGCCATCACTGTCCCCAACTCCCCATGGTCACCGATCATCAATCCACTCGTCTCATTTCCATCTTCGTTTATTCCACACATCGTCGCCACCATTTTGCATATATCCCATCAACTCGTCTCATTTCATCTTGCCAACCATCTTGTTCCGTAGTAAGTTCACTGTATAGCACCTTGGTTAAGGCACTATATAAATACATGATATAATATAAGGTGTGGCGTCCCTCCAATCGCTTGATTTATAATATGGATTCATTTCAGCGTTATGAAGTTTCATGTGTATTGCGTCAATCTCGACTTTGCAAGACCCACAGTCCGCTCTCCCATAGCTCTGTCACTGTCACATCCCAGCTTGCCTACCCACCCCTCTCTCTATCTCGTACTCAGGAAACCATGGCCAGGTAAAACGCTCGGACGTCCAGCTGAAACCATTGTGGAAAGGCTGAGCGAAAGGGGCTACATTATTAAGCCTATTAATCCTATGTGTGTGTGTGTGCATGTAGACGGGGAGCAAGCCCAGCCTCGTTGTGGATGTTGGCTGTGGAAGCGGGCAGGGCACGGAGCTTCTGGCATCTATCAGCAAAACCGTGTTGGGCATCGATGTGAGCCCATCGCAGATAGAAGAAGCGATGCTCGCAAAACATCCCAACAACATCACCTACATGTAGGTTCAAAATACATATCCCCCATGTAGCCTGTTACAGACTGTTGGGGCAAGCAAAGTTAGTGATTAGCACCTAGTGAAAGCCAGTACAGTACAGGAGGGGGTGGGTGGCCAGCACCACGCCCGACCGCCTTTGCCTCCCCGTTGGCGATGTTTTTACACACCGCACCAGGTACTCATTTGAGGCTGAGTTCACCTAGAGAAGGACCAGGACTGGTTCAGATAATCGTCACTGTTGGTGGTCGTGAGCACGAATCGAACTTGGGTAAACAGGTTCATAGTGCCAATCGCTGCCCACAGGTTAACAACCCCACGCTCGCAGATACAAAGTCCCTCTGGCCTTCCATGGAGACACATTAAAACGGCTATACTGTGTTTTTAAGGATTGAGTCGAGAGATTGGAGGCAGATTTGGATGGTGATGTTTGTGTATTATCATGCCATACAAACTAAACATAGCCAACGATTAAGGATTGTCACGTAAACAGAACTTGCCAATTCATCACCTTACAGCACACCGGTGTGCTGGAGAGCCAAGCCACAACATTTACAATCCGAGTACGACGTTTCACCAGTAATTACAACTAGCTTCATCAGGTAACAGCCAGGTTTGTGGAGAAGTCCACCTGTTTCGTTCCTTATATAGAGACGTAGATGTGGTGACCACACTTCTGCGCTCTTGCGCAAAGTGTAAATATTGTGGCTTGGCTCTCCAACACACTGGTGTGCTGTACTAGTGACAAATTGGCATGTTCTGTTTATGAGACAACCCTTACTAGTTGGCTATGTCGGGTGGTGGTGGGTTTTAACGACACATATTTACGTGATCTAACCCAAAAAGGTATTGGTTGTAGTATGTTTACCTTGCCAAAACACGCTTGTCACGTGCGGGAAATTAAATTCACGGGGAGAATCTGTAATGAGGCAGAGTAGTTTTCCTTCTGATGTATTGGTGACAGATTGGACACCGAAAGAGATAGCAGTTTGTCAGTCCGGGATAAACATCGATAGGGTGTACTACTACAGGGTAGCCTGCTGTGTGAATGTGGGGAGCCAGGAGACCATGGTAACACATCGTCTCTCGGGCGCCCTGTGCTACAAACCCGAGTTTGATTCCTGCTCGCGACCATCACGGTGAATATTTTCTGAACCAGTCCAGGGCCTCCCCCTATGTCGACTCTGCTTCATGATTACCTGGTGCGGTGTGTAAAAAGATCGCCATCGGTGGGGTGTGGTGCTGGTCACCCACCCCTTCATATGCCACAGTGCCGGCCTTCATAGGCATCGCCGCTCGCTACTAACAGCACTCGTCCCCAACAGTCGGTTGCAGGCTACACAGGGGAATCTTTGTATTTTTGTTTGTCGCTTTGTGAAAAATGAACGCGCTGCTATGCACATTTTTTTGGTTTTCCTTCTTCCCCCCACCCCTCCCACATCGTAGGGTGGGGCCAGCCGAGACCCTTCCCGTAGAGGATGGCTCCGTGTCGCTGCTAACCGCCTTCACGTCAGCGCATTGGTTTGACCTGCCAGCCTTCATGCGCGAAGTCAAGCGGGTGCTGCAGCCACGTGGCTGCCTCGTCATCTATTCCCCCATGATCCCACTGAACGTCGAGTATGGAGCCTTCACGGAGAAACTCACACAAATCATGTGGAAGGTGATACCATGCAACTTCACTAACAGAGTTTTGTACTTCATTCATTTTGCCCGATTTTATTTCTTTCTTTCTGCATTCACTTCAACCTTTCACGCTCAACACACACAAAATGCATGCCACAAATTAACCACACAATACCTTGCTGATCTCGTCAAGGAGCATAAACCATCAATCACTCCCAACTCTGGCCATCCTCACAGTAGCAGCCTTCAATAACTATTGGACAAAAACGGTCACAGAATCGCACGCTTTCAGATGAGTATTTGCGACCGTCTGGAACGCTTTTCCTTACGATATTAGGAAGCCACTGGAGCCATGCACTTTCAAACATCATATAGATTGAAAACTCTTCTTTTGGACTGCTTTTTGTGTTTAGTTTGTCCTTCCCCCGCTCCAATTTATCATGGTTTGCTACGTATGGTGCAAAAAGTTCTACATATATACGTATATACTACATCGCTATACTCGTCTCATTTCTTTAGACTTGATGTATTCATATTTATATAGTGCTTTTTTTCAAGGCGATTTCCAAGAAGTATAAATGGTGCATTGGCTGATGAGTAAAAGGGATGGGGCTTGAGTGTTGGGGAGGGGGGGAAAGGGGGAGGGCTGGCGAGGTTTTGGAATGGAAAGGATAGTAAAGGTTTTAAGGATGAGGACACGAAATTGTGGAGGGGATATACTATTGAAAAAAGTCTTAAGAGAGAAACGAAAACTGGGTGAAGTTGTCTTGATGTGGAGTGAGAGGTTTATTCCAATGGATGGGAGCCACGAGAGAAAAAAGAGCAGAAACGTAACTGATCACAGTGAGGGAGTGGGGGTAGTAAGGGACAATAGAGATTGGGAACGCAGGGGCTTAGATGGGAAATGATAAAAAAAGAGAAGCGAGATAGGGTGGCGCAGAACCATGGCGCGATTTGTAAACGAGGGTGAGGAATTTTAAAATAAACAGCATCGATTTATAGTAGACGAGCAAAGATGAGGAAATAAATTAGTATTTTGGCAGATGTTGAAAATATGACAGCAGCATGTATGATTGGAGAGGGATCGAAGGTGACCCCAAGGTTTCGAGCACAGTGGACCGGAGTGAGGGAAAAGGGGGGAAATTAAATTGTGGGATAGATGAGAGGGGAATTGGAAGCAGGAAACAATAATCTTTAGGTCTTGGAGGAATTGAGGGAGAGGTGATGAAGTGTCGTCCATAATTAGACAGCAGTAAGTCATTCGGAAATATACAACCTCCGATTGGCATGGTTGGCTATGTATGGTAACGAAAGAAGCTCAACATGCATATATACACACACATCCAAGAAAGAGAGACTGGTGTAAGATTGCTCATACTCCTCTCCCTCTTCCACACACCCACCCTCCTCCACCTCCGAAGGAGCGCAGACCGGTGGTTTACTGTGTATCCCATAGTTTGGGTTCCATGGCCACAATCGCATTGCCATTGCGTCTCTAATGTTCCATTTATGAAGGGGGTGTGTGCAGTTAAATACGTAATAATAGTGGTAGGCTTTTGCTGGGTTCGATCCCGTAAATATAAATGTCATTTGCAAACCTCCACCTGTCACGTGAACAAAACGTGCTAATTAGTTACTACTGCACTAACCGGTTGTGTTTTGGACAGTAAACACACAACATTTCCAATTTGAGTTGATAAACGTTTCGAGGGCGATTTGCCATAATGTAAGAAGTTTTCCTGTTTCCCCGTCTTAAATAGAGCAATGTAGCATCACTGAGCCAATCGGGTGCAGATAACAAGGGGGGTGGGTTCATGTAATCATAAAAAATGGATTATGTTAATATTGAACAGATGGGTTAATCATAATTCATCACTAATACGATGCCTTGATACGAGAAACAATTTAAAGTTGTATTACTTAATAATACAATATGCTTCCCAGCACCACTAAGACTGCAGCTGTCAGAATAGTTACATTTATTTTTAGTTGTTTCAATTTCAATAGATTATCTAATTGGTCTTGACCAGTAATTAGAATTAGTGTTTCACAACACATCAATGTTACCAAAACAACTGCATGTCCTTGTTGGCAAGCATGTTCTACAACTGCCGACAAGTGTGTTTGTGAGAATTAAATATTTACTTTGTTCTTGCAGTTTTATGCAAATAATTCATCTCATCTGACCAACATAGCATTTGCCATAAGTGCAGTTAATCCAGTACACACTTGTTTAAAAGTTCGAGAATTTGTTTGGTACAGGATATTCGTTTTATATTACGTATCCGTGCGAAATCTCACTTGGATTGTTTTTGTTTTTCCAAAACTCTGGCTAATTATCAGTTACTCCTGCAATGTACATTATTTTAAGCCAGGAGCTGTGAGCTATTTTATTCTGGACGTTAGTGTTTTCATAATCTTCACCAGAATTCTTCTAGTTCTGAGGTGAGATCTGAAAGAAGATTGGCGTCTAAGAAAATCCCACGTCTGTTTCAATTCCCAAAAACCAATGGCAATTGTATTATCAGTTGCAGGAAAATGTTGAGCCCCCTCGGGCCTAACGCGTTCAATGTAATGGTCCGTTGTGGTGCCTTTTTGTTTTTTAGGTCTTTGAAGATCTTCGCCCATACGAGAATCACAAGATGAACCACCTGCGTGAAGATTATACTGCCATGTGTGAAGCCATTCCGTTTGTGGACAAGAAGAGGTTCGAGTTTTTTTTTTATGGTTAGCACCGCAAATCTGTGGCGGGGTTTATCAGCATTTTAAAAATTTAAGTAGCTGGAAAGGAAATGCTGTATAAGATGCCTGGCTCTTTGAGTCTCTCTCCATTCTCATCCCCCATTTTAATTATCTATCTCTGAGATTCCTTCAAGTGACATCTGGTTCAAACAGTAAGGGCCATACATTACCACACGCACAGCCACTGAGTAATGTTTATCATGACAGTTAAAGCAATATAAGACTGGAAACAGGAAGGCTTATTCACAATTCTGGCAAATGACCTGATGAGACTGGTTGTTATAATTGCCAGAGAACCGCCAAACTCAATTTGTAAATGGTGTCGTGGTTTTATTCAAATTAATCGGCACGTTGTTATTCACGTGACAAACTTTACTGGTTGGTTGGCGGGGGAGGTGGGTTAATGACATTTTTTTATGTTTACGCAAATAACTAAAAACCCCTTAATGAATTCAAAGCATGTCTGCTCTAGATCTGGTGTGTACAATTTCCACGTGGCCTAACCCAAAAAAACAAATGTGGACCACAGCTAATGCGTTAGTTTGTTAACAGATATTTAACTAAAGTTGAGCAAAGAACAAGTTGCGTCTTATCACGCACATTTTGTTGTATAACATTACAATTTAGGTTTTTGTAACTCGACACAATGCCAGTGTTGGCGTGGACATGAAAGTCAAAGTTGACTTTAAGTAGAAGTAATAATATCGACATCTGCGTTTCTCTAATTCACCCGCAGGCTGGAGGGTGACAGGGTATTTGCACTCGTCAAAGTACCGGAATTCATGGGGTTAATTGGCAGCTTCGCCGAATACCATGCGCTGAAGGCTGCAGAACCTCTTGCTGCACAGGCCTTCATGGAAGATGTAGAGAAAAGGTGAGCTGCAATAGTAATAATAATAATAATAATATTTATAGAGCACCATTCATACCACAAAAGCTCAAGGCAACTTTAGCCACACAATCATCATCACGATCAGTTTAACACGTAGGCTTTCGCGACCAATGTTATTCATAATCAACGTTTTTGGGTTTAGATCGCGTTATTTATAAATGTGTCGTAACCCTCCACCACCCGACACGGCCAATCAGTAAAAATGTGTCACGTTGACAAAGACAAATAGTTCACTGCTTTAGCCCACCGGTGTGTTGAAGCCACAACATTTACAATTTGAGTACGACGTTTCGCTGGTAATTGCATCCAGCATCATCGGGCAATTCGCCAGAATGGTGAGGCTCTGCTGTGTCTCCCGTTCTTATATAGAGCAGCAGCAGAGTGACGTCATCATTAACTCATCAGGTGCAAAGATTCAAGGGGGGAGTGATTGTAATTATATACTAGATTAGTAATCAGGCTATTGTTACGATGCGAGTTGTAGATTAGTAATCATTTGGAATGTGTTTTATTGTGATTATGCTACATTAGTAATCAGTTAGTGGTTGTTTCCCTTATAAGGAATTGTAATGTATCTTATTTAATAATACGCTTCCAGGCCGCAGTAAGCCTGTAGCTGTCTGAGCGATTAAAGTTATTTCTGTTTCTCTCAATTTCAATCGATTCTCTAATTAGTCTTTGCCAGTAGTAACTAGTTTTACACAACACTTCCACGTTGTCTGTTGTATGTGTTGTGATTATGAAATTTTGATGAAAATAATAAAAATTAATAATTTTCCAAAAAATGCGCAATTCGCATTAATTATGTTAATGTATGTATTACTATGCATAAATTATGATAATGCGTGTGATTATATGCATAAATTATGATAATCGTAGTAATTTATGCGGAGGCTTGCGATTATGTTAATGTGTGCAGTTATGATAATTTGCTTAGTTTCGTTTATCCAGAGTTATCAATCAGGATAACACGATTATCATAGATTCATTTACCGATTATCCTAGTGTGTGTTATAATATTTTAGGTCTCCATTTTCATATCTCATCACAGGATACAGTTGTCAAGAATAAGACAGTTTTGCATGAACTTGGAAGGAACACTCGATATGCTTCTTGATTACAATTTTATTCTAACAAGCACGTGACATTCTATCATGCAGGTTAAACATGCGTCAATAATTCATGGGCAAGATTATGCAATTAACTAAATTGAATGACTAGAAATACTTCTTCATTGGCGAAATTATGCAGTTAACGAAAATGAATGACTAAAACATTTCTTATTCATGCAACTCGACGGCAGCAACTGCTTTGCACGATCAGTTGATATTGAACGCACCACCTCGAAATGGCAACCCTTTTTGAAACGCAAAGATCACTTTTTGAAAGTCTTATTCGTGTGCGTGCTGTGTGTGCGTTGTCCTCTCGTAATATTAATTGTGTCGTTAGCTTGTGTGGTGTGGGAGGATACGAACAGCTCCTGCTGCTCCCTCGCTCGGCGTGTCGCTCGGCTTTTGCTCTCTCTCTCTCTCTCTCCACTGCTGGATTGAGCGGCGTTGGCACGATGTTCCTTGAAGAAACTTGCTTGCTTGGCGCTTGATGGTTCCGGGGGCTTGGTGCTGCTCGTGCGCTCTCTCTTTCTACTGCTAGATGACGAGTTGGCACGATGCTGTCCTTGAAGATGCTCGGTCGCTCGTGTCGCTCGGTGTTGCTCGGTGGCGCAAGGTGTCGCTCGTTGTCGCTCGATGGCGCGCGGTGGCGCACGGAGGCGCACGGTGGCGCACGGTGGCGCACGGTGGCGCAAGGTGGCGCACGGTCAGCGCTCGTTCAGCGATCTCCGCCTTTCCTGCGGGTTGTTCGCTGGTCGTCACTCTGACGAGGAGCGATGCTTCGTTCGTGGCAGGGTGGACGTTGGCGTCTTTGTTGGCTTCACTCGCAGCTCTGCGACTCAGGGTAGCGATTCTTCTCAGGTGGTGCAGACCTCGGCTTGTAGCTACGCGTCGCTACTCCGCAAACCTCGTCATTCTGAATGACAGGAACTTCTTCGTTGGCGGCGACGAGGAGAGATGGAGCCACAGCCCTGGAGATCTGTGATGGGGGCCAGAGCCCCTGTCGATCTGAGTTGTATGGATTTTCCTTCGGTTTATATCGGAAAATTCCACTCGGCTTCCCGAGTTGTTCAAAAGCTGTGTCATAAAACCTTCCTGTGGGGGTGGACCATCTGCGTCCGTGTGTGTGTCCGTCCGTGTGTTTCGCGTGCGTGTTTGTCCGTGTGTTTATTAGCTTTGAAGACACAGCTGTGTGTGTCGTTCTGGAAGAAAGGGGGTGGGGGTGGGGGCCTCGTGTCGGCTGTTTCAGAAGTTATCCATTAGCCAGACCGATGATTCGCGTTGAGTTAAAAAAAAAACATTCGAATCCATGTTTTGTTACTGAATAATATTTGTCGCGAAAACCTACGCGTTAAGCGAGCTTAACTATTCACTCCCTTGCTCTGGGATCACATCCTTTGTCTCACACAGCTTAAGTTGGTTTGGTTTGGAAGTTGAAATGCGACTTATTTGCTGCTTGGTTATGCCGAAACCGTGTTCACGATGTTTCATCGTGACCCAACCTTTATGGGTGTCATTTCCTGGCTTGGTGCCTGTGTGTGGAGATCCTCTCGGAAAGACAAAGGCGGTCGTGTTGCTCGCTTCCCATGGGTGTTGTGTTTGGTTAATTTTGAGAGCCTTCTCCGCCCTTGATTCCTCTTCTATTTTAATTCCGTACTTATTATTCGACTTCTTGTGATTATTTGATCTGATATCCCGGCTAGGAATTTGTTTTGGAGCGAAAGAGATGCCCTAATTATTCTTTGATGCTTCGGCCCGGCCGTGTAGATATTCTTTAAAGGTAAATAATGTCAGTACTTAATTAACAATGATGGGTCGCGATTCTGGTGCAGATTGTCTTTTGGTTTTCAATTGGAGTGAGGATGGATACTGTTTGCTTAATCTTTATGGTTGAGTTGGTAACTTGTGTATTTAACATGGTTCAAAGACCCATCTGTGCTTTTTGTCGTCGATGCTGTTTCTTTGTTAAGAATATAATTATCTCTTCCTCCGTGTCTCCTGGTTCTGCAACCCCCCGCCTGCCATTCCCCCCTCCCTTGTTCCTCTTGTGTGAAATTCGGGGAGTTTATGACCTTGATTACCCTCTTTCATGCCGTCTTTCCTTTGAAATGAGGTATGCGCGCATCTGTGGAAGTGTGGGGGCCTCTGTGGAAGTGTGGGGGCGTGTTCGTTCCCACGTGGCCCCGTGTCTATTAAAAAAACAATATTATATATGATGGCAGAATAAGCCTTAAAAAAAATAATATTAAAAAAAAATAAAAAGGGGGTACATACACAACATGTCAAAATCAATTGAGTGTCCCTGTTGGCATGCATGTTCTGCTACTGCCGACAGTTGTGTTTGTGATAGTTTAATATTTCTCTGGTGTTCTTTTAGTCTTACACTAACGTTACGCCCTGTCTGTCCAATATAGCATCTGCCACATACACAATTAATCCGATATACACCTTCTGTTGATAATTTAGGTAATTCGTCTTTAGTGCACGTTACTAGTTGTTGAATTTTGTGTACTGTACCAAATCTTACTGTAATGTTTTGCTTTTGCAAAACACGGGCTAATTTATCAGTTACTCCTGAGATAAATGGTATTTTTATTGTTTTAATAATCTGATCGCTTTCAGCAGTGTTGCTTTGCGATCGTGATTTGGCTTTTAGTGCTCTGTTAATTTGAGCATTATTGTAGCCATTCTGTCTTAGTGCTTCTTTAACGTGTTTAATCTCTCTCACTAGACTTTCACCATCTGACACTGTTTTAGCCCGATGTATGAGCGTCTTGATAAGAGAGGATTTCTGAGCTGGGTGATGATGCGAATCTGCATTCAGATAGGCATCAGTGTGCGTTTGCGTTCTGTAAACGCTGTGTGTTATTTTACCATTTAGGCCATGCCCAAGTAAAATATCCAGGAACGGGAATGTGTTATTCACCTCCATTTCCATGGTGAACTGAATGGCCGGGTTTTTTTATCTCAGGAGTAACTGATAAATTAGCCCGTGTTTTGCAAAAGCAAAACATTACAGTAAGATTTGGTACAGTACACAAAATTCAACAACTAGTAACGTGCACTAAAGACGAATTACCTAAATTATCAACAGAAGGTGTATATCGGATTAATTGTGTATGTGGCAGATGCTATATTGGACAGACAGGGCGTAACGTTAGTGTACGACTAAAAGAACACCAGAGAAATATTAAACTATCACAAACACAACTGTCGGCAGTAGCAGAACATGCATGCCAACAGGGACACTCAATTGATTTTGACAACGGTGGAAGTGTTGTGTAAAACTAGTTACTACTGGCAAAGACTAATTAGAGAATCGATTGAAATTGAGAGAAACAGAAATAACTTTAATCGCTCAGACAGCTACAGGCTTACTGCGGCCTGGAAGCGTATTATTAAATAAGATACATTACAATTCCTTATAAGGGAAACAACCACTAACTGATTACTAATGTAGCATAATCACAATAAAACACATTCCAAATGATTACTAATCTACAACTCGCATCGTAACAATAGCCTGATTACTAATCTAGTATATAATTACAATCACTCCCCCCTTGAATCTTTGCACCTGATGAGTTAATGATGACGTCACTCTGCTGCTGCTCTATATAAGAACGGGAGACACAGCAGAGCCTCACCATTCTGGCGAATTGCCCGATGATGCTGGATGCAATTACCAGCGAAACGTCGTACTCAAATTGTAAATGTTGTGGCTTCAACACACCGGTGGGCTAAAGCAGTGAACTATTTGTCTTTGTCAACGTGACACATTTTTACTGATTGGCCGTGTCGGGTGGTGGAGGGTTACGACACATTTATAAATAACGCGATCTAAACCCAAAAACGTCGATTATGAATCATCAC